AAATTGCATTTAGTGGCCAAAACTGAGGAGTGAATGACTAAAATGTATACCTTGTAGTCCATTCTTTTACTTGGGGCCGCATGGAAGGGTTACCGTTCATCCCCAAATTGCTACTACTGAGGTGCAGAAGTGTGCTAAAGCTGAAGTCACTGCTTGCTGAAATGATTTCTTTGGGGTTCCCGGGGAATCTGGATGATATCTAGAGTTTTGTGCAGACACCTCGAGGTTGCTTCTTTTTAGTTCGGACTTCCTGTGGTCGCTTCCTTCTGCGAGTAGTGAGTGCAAGAGTCTGGCTGTTGTGCTTACATAATCGGTCCTAGTTTGAAATAACACAAAAACTGCTGAGAAAGGCAGGTAACCAATTAATTGAACAGGAAATGACATTTCTAGTGGAGTTGTACGCAGTGTACAACAACAGCATTATAGTCATCTTTTTTACTGAAGAGTAACCTATGGGTTTATAGATGGAGAGGTGTATGTTGTTACACTAATAAGGGGCAAGATGTAAGAAAAGCTGCCCAACAGAACCATAAGAAATCCGAAATAAAGAAGTACACCTTTGTTGGCGATATTAGGTTACATCAGAAATGCAAAGTTGAAAATGATGTAGTGAACTAGCAGTAACAATAATCAGGGGACGTTATTCAATTAAAGGGAAATTATAGTGGTTGTAGTACCAGAGAGTGATACAAACCTACAGGGGAATCGTGATCTGTCTGACTGCCAAACCTGGAAATAATGGCATAAAATCAGATCTAATTTGATTTTTTTTTTTTTATTTTAACTGGGTGATTTAGTTGACCTGATTCCTAACCACCTCCAAATTGGGGGATTTTCACTTAATAACACAGTAAGTGGAATTTATCAAAACTGGAGCAGCTGTGCATGGCAGCCAATCGTCTTTTCTTTCATTTTCAAATCTTAACTGAACAGACTGAAGAGAGAAACTGGTTGGTTGCCATGGGCGCTCTAGATTTAGTTTGCTCCAGTTTTGATAAATTCCCCCAATGTATTTTTGAAGCAATGGCTATTAATTTATTTATGACCAGGGTTTTTAAGCAAAGAAGCAATATTGGAATGTTATAGCCATTTTGAAAAATCATAGCTCGCTGTAAGATATTATGAATTCCATTAAATTCTATGATGGATATTGTAGCAGATTTTGATGTAAATGAAGCAAACCTTTTAGGGCTCATTCACACGGGAATCGGAAGTGAATCTATGTTGACTTTAAGGGCTCATTCACACGGGAATCGGCCAGCACGTATAGCTCCGTGCTGCGTGCACGGCTGTATCGGGCAGCTCCCGGGAAGGACCGGTGCTGTGTGTGATTAGTGTCCTTCTCTATGGGACTAAGCGGCCATATGCCCCCCTACGCTTGCCTCAAGTGCAGGTCCGTACGGGTACGCGTGTCCCGGCTCGGACACAGATCAGATCCATACCGTTAGCGTACGAGTACGCTCACCTGCACGGACTTGCAGGGCGGGTGGCTAGGGCGGCGTACAGCAGCGTAGTCCCATGGAGAAGGACGAGGGCTGCGTACTAATCACACGCAGCACCTGTCTTTCCCGGGAGCTGCCCGATGCGGCTGTGCACACAGCATGGAGCTGTACGTGCCGGCCGATTCCCGTGTGAATGAGCCCTTAAAGTCAACATAGATTCACTTTATGGAGCTATTCAGACTTTTGCTTTGCGTTACCTGTACCACACACAGACAGTAATGTGCATTATTTCATACGTTAATGTGTAGTGGTTTTAATGGACCTGCAGCATTTATTGAGTGCATTGCACTACAATGTGCAAATGTTTCACATCTATTCATTTTGGTGCTCTAAAACTGTACATATGTTGTGGTACTATGGCAAGATCTGTTGGAGTGTTACTTAAAATGGATAGTACGAATGTGTATGGGTTTGTTTATGAAACGTCCGCCTAGTGTATAGCTGGGTGTATGCCGTTCGCACGCCACGAGCATCTCTAGATGATGCTGAGGAGTATAGGAATGTCCTGTGCATCCTAAACCATATGTGGTTCTATTGTAGGAAGATCCAAGAGCATGTGGCATAGAATAGGAGAATGGTTAAGTGGTTTAAGACCAATTACGTTTGTGCTGGAGGGGATTAATATTTTTTTGTGTGCCAGACTCACGAGAAAGATGGAAACTTTTTGACCCGAGTTATATTGATGACCCTAAAGGAATTCTATAAAAGGTAGACAAATAAAAGCACGCCACAAATTAAAGATGGTATGGTTTGGCTTTCCAGATACTTAATAATTGAATATTATGGGACTAGAGCAGCCTTTCTCAACCTGGGTGCAGTGGCACTGTGGTGTGCCTTTTGGCTTGCTCTGCTGTGCCTCCAAATTGATGTGGTAGTGGGACTGTGATGTAAAGGGGGGAATGAAGACAATGTAAGGAGGTATGTGGATGTAAAGTGGAAATTCTGATGTGAAACGGGGGCTCTGATATGAAAGATGGGCTTCTGATGTGAAAGGTGGACTCTTGATGTAAAGGGGGGGAGGCAATCTTGATTTGAGGGGGGCACTTTGATGTAAAGGGAAATCCCACTTTTTTTGTGTGTTTTTCCGTGGGGTCCCCCTTACAATGATATTTTAGACTGGTGTGGCTTGAGACTTTGCATACGTTTTTAAAGGCTGTTTTGTCAAATAAAGGTTGAGGAATGCTAAGCACAAAGATTCTCCTTGAACATAGGTGCTCTTAGGAGAAATGTTCCATGATTCACTTAAGAAAAGATATGGTGTAGCTTTGTGTTTTTTGGAGAGTTGTTTGAGTAGAGAGAAAATATGAATTGTGTGAAATATGTATTGGTTGTAATGGCCATACAGTATGTGTTCCTGATTTTGTGTGAGATGTTCTTCAATAAAGCTTAAAAAGCACAAGTTGGGCCATCCATGGGACTGGAATGTAATGTATCTGCAAATGTCAGATCTAGTAACTAGCCGCATTCTGTTGCCTCTATGAGCACACACGTTCCTGTCTTCTTGGGGCTCATTCGCTCTCTCTCCTTTTTTTTAATGTAGTTCGCTGCATTTCACAAAACCCCAACGCAAGCAAATCACATGGGCAGTAAAATACCATATTGCCAACCATTCTATTCTCTCCAAAGTGCTGCATTCAAGTTTCAGATTACTGTAGTCATGAATAATGTGCACGCAGATATTGGAGCTGACTTTACAGAGTAAAGCTGTCTTGTGCTGTTTTGTACATTCAAAGTGGAAAATGTAAAAAAAAAGCACACAAAAAAAAGCAGAGCCAGATGTTTTATAAAAATAAGTTTGTCGCTTTCATTTCTGCTGAAAAAGCGGTGAACTTAGTCACTGGACACATTATTAGCTGTGCACAAATAGATTTGGCAGAAAAAGCTACAGAAAAAGACAAAAGGAAATATTCTTTAATAACATCAGTAAAGCCAATCAATGTTTAACTGGAAACAGAACAGAAGCCAGAATGATTAACTGTTAACTTGGTGAATGCAAATCCAGTGGAGGTGACCACCTGGGAAAGCTATTACCAGCTAACTTGTGTGCGTCTGCTGCAGGCTGAGCTGAATATCTTTGGGTAGGGCCAGTGCTGGGGAGGGGGGGAGAAAATACCTTTTTTGTTTGCACTTCTATGATAAGAATGCAGCATTTTCCAGGCTGGATTACTCCATGCTTTTGTGGCAGAGAGAAAAGCATTGACAGGAAATATTATGCTAATTTAATGCCAGATTTTCAGCTAAGCTTAAAGTAAAAGCAAAATAAAAAAAATGCATAGAATACATCCACATTTCCCTATATTATGATTTTATTCACCATTCAAGTACAGAAAAATACTTGCTGTCCTACCAAAAATGGACTTGGTTCTTAATTTCCTGTTGTGTGCTGACAATACAGATTTTTGTGGACTGAAATGACTAAAAATGGTGTCAGCCCAACCCAACTGTATTTTGCTAAAATACCGAATTGTATCCCCTCTTATCTTCACAACATAGAGAGTGATTGTTGTGTAGTCCAAGAATAGAACTGGGGTAGTGATTAAGCTCCTTGCGATAACACAGGAAAGGTAAACAAGGCGCAGGCTAGCTTTGGAAGCAGTGATTTAACCACATTTGTGAACAGACTTCAGGATTTACTTGATTGTGTCACCTCAGAGCTGGCATCTTAGTCCAGGAACACGATGCTACTGAACCTGGATGAAGATGGCTCTGGGAGGGAAGGCATTGTTGGGGGTGGCGCATGTGATATGCGAGACATAATAGAAGTGTTTCACTTACATATTACTTTGCATTCATGTACTTAAAATAATATCTCTGATGCCCCAACAAAGCCCCATCACTAAAGGTCCCGATTTCATAAGTTAGTTGCATTTAGCAGAGGATCATTTTTTATTTGTTAATATGAGATGGTTGAGTTGTAGTTTGTATAGGGGCAGGTTTGTTGTATGGATCCCACAGAATCAAAAATGTGCCTTTTGCTTCGAGCTCAGCAAGATCAATTTCTTATCAACAATGCATCCAGACATTAGTATATGGCTTTTGTAAGTGACACTTTTAGAGTTTTATGTTTTGCCCGGAGTCCTCCCTTACAAAAGCAGCTGAGAAATGTTACATCTCTGGATGCGGTGAGGTAAAGGTGATGATATATTTTACACTTGTGATCTGTAAAGTTCAAGTCTCTGTATGCTTCTGCCATCTGCACAAGGCCTTGCAGCTGCTCAGAGCTGGTTGCCAGCCCCATAGATAGCAGTGGGGATTTCTCTGACAACCGGCCAGCTCCTGAGCTATGTGCAGAGGACTAAAGAGTGGCAGTCCCCTGAACCTGAAGATCTCTAGATCAGTGGCACGGTGGTAAATGCAGGCCCAAACTGTAATTATTTTTAAGGTATTACCCTGTCCTCCGTTTTCATCACATCTCTTGAAGCTCTGGATAGCTCTTGACTATTTTGTGGAAAGTTTTTAACGGTATTTCTTTTCTCTTGCTTTCTTTCTTCCCCCTAGAATTTTCAGCACGATGTCATAATGCTCTCAATTCTTCTAAAGAGGTGATAAGCGTTATTGAAAATGGCTGACAAGAGTGGGAGGCCCGCACCTGGTCCGGTGTACGTTGAGGTAGAATATGATTACGAGTATGAATACAAGAACAAAAAAATTATCATCAAGCAGGGCGAGAGGTATGTTTTGATGAAAAAGTCAAATGAAGACTGGTGGCAGGTGAGACAGGATGAAAACTCAAGACCCTTGTACGTTCCAGCTCAGTATGTGAAGGAAGTGGGCAGAAAGGCGTTGATGCCTCCTGCCAAACAGCCCGCCCTGCCCAACAGTCCTCTGAAAGTGTCACAAGGATTACAGAGATCGACCGAGAATATCAATAAATCTCCAGAGCTCACCAGTTTCGGGAAAAGCTCCTCAATTCGGGATGCCAACCAGAACTTTGGGCCTGGCAGTAGCCCAGGCCAGACGAGAGGACTGACTCTAGACCTGGTACATAACAATGGCAAGTTATGTACTGATTTACACTCACCAAAGGCCACCAGCAGGAGCCCCTCTGCCTTGCACTTTCCTGGTCCAGAAATGATGGATATAGAAAAGGCCAGCTTTTCAAATGAACACTCGGATTCTGCTGGGGAAAACTCGGAAAAACTTCTTGCAGATTCAGAATCTGGAGATGAACTGAGTAGCAGCTCGACGGAACAGCTTCAGGTAAGATTGAACCTTAAACCTTAAACCTTTTTGTACTGGACACTGAAGGGAAATATTGAGTATTCTATTGCTGATAGCATCTTGAAAATGCTAGTTACCTGGCTTGCATGTGCCTCTAGTGGCTTTAATACTTTTTAAGACCCTGAAACAGCATGCATGCAGGTCAAAAAAAAAAGTCTTGGTGAAGTTAAAGCTCCTACTCTGAATGCTTCTTCAGTCAGTAACCTCAAAAGTACTAAAAGGAAACCTATCTGGACAGGGTTACACTTACTGTGTCTCATTTCCTTCATGCTTCAATACTTTGGGACTGATGTTATAACTCTTTCACCCAGGGTTTGGTTGGGTGGAAGATTTATAAGACGGTTCCTTTGCGTCCATCACCTGAAAGAAGCATTCACATATTAATGTCTGGCTTTATAGATATGCATACTTGTTGAAGGCCAGTGACTCAAACCTTATTGAACACAGTGGGTCATTGTACTAACCAGAAAACTAGCATCTTCATTGGCAGCCTACATGCATCTCAGGAAAGTGAAGGCCTGCAATACTTGCTAGGCACCGGTTTCCATCAAATAAACAGCCAAGACTGTGAAGTATACCAATTTACATTAAAGGGAACCTCCTGTGAGAGAAACATGGAGGCTACTGCTGGAAATGCTAGTTGCCTGGCTGTCTTGCTTTAGTACTTTGAATTGGTAACACAGGGCAAGTATGCAGTTAGAGAGTTCCGACGTTCCCAGGTATAAAGTACCTGTTCTAGGTAAATGATTGGAAGGTATTGAACCAGTAGGTCGGTGTAGCAGTCAGGCAGTTAGCTTTTTTTGGAAGGAGTTCAGCAATGAAGGCCTCCATATGCCTCTATGGAAAATATAATGAGGCCAGTGAGCTGGGATTTTAATTATAACAGACATTTAGAGGCCTCTGATCCTTTGTGTGAAACACGTAGAGTTGGTAGATAAGTGAATGCATGTCATAATACTGTGGTCTTTTACCTTCTAGTCATTGAGACAGATGGGTGAGCTGGTGTTCATACACACAGGAACATTCCCCCATATGTATGTCCATGGTGGCATGCATGTCAATTGTAAAATCACAAAGGGGTGGGGCTTGGCAGGATAAGGGAGTGGCTTTGGTGTCGGTACATTTTTTGCATTTGTGAAATGTTGCCTAACCTTGCAAGTGGTTGATGCTTTTGCTGCATTACAACGTTCCTTGTATGCTATAGAGCAGGGGTGGCAAACTCCGGCCCTCCAGCTGTTGTGGAACTACAAGTCCCTTGAGGCTTTGCAAGATTCTCACGGGCACGACTCGCAGAGGCAGATGCATCATGGGATTTGTAGTTTCACCACAGCTGGAGGGCCTGAGTTTGCCACCCCTGCTATAGAGGGTAAGTGCTGGACTGAAGACATATCTGAAGTGCCTTGTAACACAAAGGAGGTCCTCTGTAGTGAAAGGTTGAGTTGAAAGGCCTGATATGTTCATACCGCTGCCAAAGTTTGGTTACTAAAACTGTCTAATGTCTGTGTTGTGTCCTATATCAAAAGGGATCTAGATGTGTTTGCTTTTTTGATTTGCAGACACTCTGTGTGCTCTCCCTGCAGAATAAAAACATGTTGCAGCTTTTTCCTTTTTAGATAGTAGCAATTTGTACTTGTTGATGCTCCTGTACAGTAAGGCCCCTTTCACACAGACTGATCAGGAGAGGATCCGTGCAGGTTCTCTCCTGATCACCGCAGTGTGGAGTGAATGTCACCACAGTGACATCCATGTCCGTATAGTTTTTTTTTTTGTTTTTTTTTTTTTTAACTCCATTTTGTGATGGAGGAAAGAAACTGCATTTACTGCTCCCCATGCCAGTGTATGGAGAATCGGATGTAAATAGACATGTGTCCGTTTACATCAGATTACCCCTGATCCGGCACGATCTGGTCTGGCAAAACAGAACACTGTTCCATTTTGTCTTTACGGACCCGGTCGGAGTCGGGGGGTAACTGGGTGTAAATGGACTCTTGTCCGTTTACACACATGCATTAGGCATCCGATCGGGTCCGCCTGGAAAAACTGACAGATCGGTCAGATCGGGGCTGCCATGTGAAAGGGGCCTAAAGCTGTGAGTGGTTGCTTTGTCGCTCTTCTTACCGAAAATCCCAAATCACGGGGGGGCTTGGGTGCTCGTAGTGACTGCGGATGGCGCCCCCAGACAATAACTGTGGATAGATGCCACCAGCACACCAGAATCATTTCAAATCCAAAATGTTAATTTATTGAAACATCATGTCACCAGAACAAGCGCTTTTGGGGCCACGCAGGGTCCCAATCATCAGGCTCAGCATTGACCAAATGGTCCCAATGGCCACGCAGGGTCCCAATCATCAGGCTCAGCAATGACCAAATGGTTATTGCTGAGTCTGATGAAGGGAACCCTGCTGGGCCCTGAAAGCTCTTGTTCTGGTGACATGATGTTTCAATAAATGAACATTTTGGATTTGAAATGATTCTGGTGCGCTGGTGACATCTATCCACAGGGGCCTAAAACTGGCTACACTGGCCCGATCTGCCGCCTCCGGCTGACATCCTTTGATTGAAAAATTGAAGGAGCAGATCGGAACATTGTTGGCTGAGCAGCGTCTACATCCAATCATATGCAGACACTGCTCAGGCATTTTGACAGCCGGCTGGGCCAAATGCCGAAAAAACATAGCTGCAGTGGGAGATTCAAAGCTTGGATGGAGTAATATGTTGGATATTTTTGTTCAGCTTTTCATGCTGAACGGAAAAAAACTGACAGCGTATACCCAACGCAACTGCAAGCACTTCATTAGATGTCTCTTACTACCCTGTAGTTCCCTACCAGGCTTTGGTCAGCTTCACTTGCACTAAGAACATAGACCAATGGTTTGATATTTTTTTTTTTATTTTTTTTTTCACACAATGGCACATTTCTAAGATTGTATAGAAACCTTTACACCTATATTGTGAATAATGATAGAGTGCAGAGCTCTTATTGTGAAAGGATTAATATCTATTGTATATGTATGCATTTCGATTTCCTGATTGTTATCATTTATCATTCAGGTTTGTTTTGTGCTTCATCTGTGTCCTTGGTATACAAACGATAAAACTGAATTGATAGAGCTCTGACTCACTCTTATAGTGTTGTTCTGCCATTTTGTTGCTAGGCAAAAAACTTGCCCTTTTAGGATGCTTGTCATGATGTTCCTTTGTTCAGCTTTGTCATACAGAAGCAGATGTGTATAAAAGTAAACCCTTTTGTTGGGTAGGTCAGATTAGTCCTTATGCCAGACCTGGAAGTACAGCTGCAATAAAAAGATAATTTCAGGAAGTTTGGTTATAAAAGCGTTTTGACCAAATTTAGATTGTCTCAATTTCTAATCATTTCCACACTTTAAATGTTAGCAGAGAATACATACAGGATGACAATTTCTAAAGGTGCATATTATCCTCTTGTGTGCATTTTTTTGCCGGTGCGTTGCAGCGGTATTTGCACTGAAGGCTGCAGATCATGAATACTTCATAGCTGCTGTCAAATTTCTAATCAGTCATTTGATGGACATCAAAGAGGTTATGTTGGAATGGAAAGGCATTGTGTACGGCTGGCTTGTTTTATACCTAATGTCAGATATAGTTTTCCATTAGAAGATGCTTGCTTAGTTAAAGTGACACTAAACTCAGGAGTTATACCTTATTAATACATTCAAGTACCTTAACTATTCACACAAATGTATCTTATTTGTGTATCACTCGGCTGTAGATCATCACATCATCACTGAATTGGTGCTGACAATCATGCGATTGTAGTCCATGGGTAGCCAAACTCTGGCCCTCCAGCTGTGGTGGAACTACAAATCCCATGAGGCATTGGATGATTCTCTTAGCCACAGACATGACTCCCAGAAATAGATGCATCATGGGATTTGTAGTTTCACCACAGCTGCAGGGCCTGAGTTTGGCTACCCCTGTTGTAGTCCATCACGGGAGCGAGCTTGGAGCAGTTGCTACTTTACAACACACACAGGGATCATGGGGAACCAAAGTAGCCCCCCTCCAGAAGGAAGGACAGTGTCAGCACCAATTCAGAGATGATTTGAGGATCTACAGCCGAGTGATACACAAATGAGATACATTTCTGTTAATAGTTGGGGTACCTGAAAGCATTTTTAAGCTTTAATTCCTGACTTTAGTGTCACTTTAAGTGTAGGGATAACACTTGCAGGTATTTCTTGTCTCTCTCAGGGTTCACAGTATTCCTCATAACTGCTTTTATCATTCTGTGTTCCAAGGAGGCAGCTGCCATCTTTGTTCAGACATTATCCAGGGCCCAGCATCTACTTCCTGGACTATAATGTTGGCCGGCAGAAACGATATGCAGGCTGCCCTTGCTCATTCACATGAACGGCGGACTTTATCGCTCCTCTAAAAAGTGATCTGTGGTGGATTGATTTTCAGAGAGCAGTACAGCAGCGACTTCAGGCACTCGGCAGTCAATACTTCTGTCTCTCTTCATTGCCTGTGGTTTTTTTACATTTTTTAATTCCAAGGGAGATTTTACATGGAATTATGGTGCAGCAACCGCGTACCAAAGTTTGGCATGCAGTTGTGATGTGGTCCCATTCATCTCAATGGTTGCATTTGGCAAGTGGCATTGCCTGCTGAAAGGGGCATGCTGTCTGTCTAAAGCCCAGGTATACACGCTTTGGCACCTTTCTGACCGGCATCCCTCGATCAGCTGATTAAAGGAGCATGTCGGACAATTCTTGGCCGAACAGAGCGAGCAGCCAATAAGCTGCTCGCTCTGTTCGGGTATTCCGACAGACGGCCGCTGTCAGACTGCAATGTAAACAGTGGGGAATTCATGTGGAATTATCCCGTTAATACTTGTGTCACCAGCACAGGGGCAAATATTAGAAGTTTAGGATTAGCATGACAACCAGGCAAGTAGCATTTTCAGAAGGATATGATTAGGGACAGCCCCTGCATTTCTCTCAGCATAGGTTTCCTGCAGTGTGTATAATTATAAATTGGGTATAGTGTAGGTAGAAAAGGACAGCGTATTATTGTTTGACCTTTTCCTGCGCTGTTAAATTGTAATAGAAATTCTACCTGTTTCACAGCAGCAAATGTTCAGATAAATGATTAATGATCCGAGCAAAAAATAAATGTGCTTTTTATTCTTGAACAAGCCCTGAAAGTATAAATATTTGATGTGCTTCTTGGCCAAAGCCAACAACCACTTTCATTTAACAAGCTTAAGGCTGTTTGTTGTGTTTGGTTCTCTGAGCCAGAAAATGGGGAAAAATAACAGCGTTCTAGCAAAAGTGGGTTACAAGTTTATCCAGATTGTTGGCTGCAGAACATTTATATATTAGACTTTGTAATTACAATTAGAGTGTGAAAGGATCAAAGTCCTTTTTTCTTAACTTGTACTTCATAAAATGCTTTTTTCTTTTTTTTTCTTGTGGTCTGGAGCTCTTAGGACAAGCAGCCTGGGGACTTTCCTTGCTTTGTGCACTGTTTACGTGTTATTATCTATCTTACGGTTCATAACATGAGAGTGGTGTGTGGCTTGTTCTTATCGGTATTGATGGGGACGTTTGGCAATGCCTTCTACTACAATCTCTCCTCTAGGAACCCTAGTTATAAACGTAAGCTGGCCATACACAAAGCAAATTTTCAGCCAGTTCTTGATGAACAGGCCGAAACTCACTCAGTGGGTGGCCCAGTCAGCAGCCTTTTGCTCGACATTTTCCAATCATAAAATTGAAGAAGCCGGGCGGAAAATTCTAAGCCAATCAGCTGCAGTCACAGTTCATGTCCTGTATTCTTGCTATGGCTTACTTGCTGCTGTCAGAATTCAATAGTCGCAGCATGAGATTCTTCCATCCATGCTAAACACCCTGCAGGCTGAACAAAAAATGTTAAGTATGTGGCCAGTTTAGCTTTTTCCTCTTTGGATAATAATAAAGATATAGATGGATGGATGGAGCGAGCATTTTTTCCCCATAATTAGCAAAGCTTAGAACTTGCATTTTGTTTCTAAACTCCACATCGCTGTTAAAGTGGACCATTATTGTGCCTGCGGTCCGGTGCGATCAAAATGCTGCAAGCACCATTTTGATCGCGCCGGACCGCAGGCACAATGTGCCTTGCGATCCCGTGCGGGCGATCGCATTGCGGCCAGAGGGTGTGGCTACGGTGCCATTTGCTTCAATGGCCGGCCATGCCCCCTCCGTGCCCCACTAAAAAGTGAGCCGGCTGCAATGCGAGGCAATGCGTTCCAGACAGAACCGGCCTGGAACGCAATGCAACTGGTGTGACCGGGCCCTAATGACAGAACCTTACAGCTTCAAAGCAAGAGCACTCATCGCTGCTAGACAACACTCGGAGCAAATCCATAAAGCCTGATGGCCATTGGGGGGAATTTATCAAGATTGGCGCAGACAAAAATCTGGAGCAGCTGTGCACGGCAACCAATCAGCTTCTCTCTTTCATTTTCTAATTGGTTGCCATGCACAGCTACTCGAGATTTTGTCTGCTCCATTTTTGATAAATACCCTTCATTGTGACTTAAAATAAATCCTATTGGCATTTCAAGTGAATTTTACTTTTATCACCCTTCTTGTGGTGATATAAAAATGTATACAATATGAATGCAGATGTTTTCCAATCCTGGTATCAGTGAAGCTTGTTTTATAACTTATAACAAGTATAACTTTATAACAATATTTTTGTTGTTCCTCGATTCTGACACAAATGCCAACACCTGTATATGAACTCCCTTACTATATTCCCCAATGTTGGCAGCAACAGCTGTATTTTGTGGAATCCCCAGAGAAAATCATTGTACAATGTTTACCAAATGAGACTTGTTGGCAGACGGCGCATTGAACAACATATGTTTATTACCCTGGACATCAGTGCTGTTGAGCGTGTTTTTTCTTTTGGCTAAAACCAAAGGGTTAAATGTCGGCCCCCATTGTAGTTTGTTCTGTATTTGGAGTGAGTCAGGCCCAGGGATGCTAGTGCCAGCGTTCTCTCTAGGAGCAGCCCCCATACTTGTTATCATTCAATAATGCTCATTGTTCTTAGTGAATCAGCTGTGCAAAATGAACAGTTTATTAAGCTCCTTTTCCAGGCCGCTTTTCTTTTTGTCACCAGAACATAAAGTCCCAGAAAGGCTACCGCCGCACATGCCAGGCATAATGCGTTTTATTGAGAAAGTGGGCACTTCCCCCATAGCGGCATCTCTCCAGTTCCCTTATGTGGACAAACAGATGTGCGCTTTTTTGTGAGTCGATTGCTCTGGCCATGAGGGTGTTGGAAACACTATTCAAGTATATGTCAAGGCAAAACTTATCCTGTACGTTTGTGTAATGATAACAAAAAATGATCTGCGCCGGTATGTGAATGATGAAGCTTCTAGGCACTCTAATTATATCCAGTATAATATGATGGCTATGGATGCAATATTGTGCCAAGCTAATCAATATACAAATTATTCATATGATGTAACGACATACTCAAAGTGAATAGAGTGGTGATCATGTACAAGATATCAAAAACTGTGTGAATGCAACAATATTCGTATGTGAACGATCTAAATCACGCACTAAGCCCTTCACACCGTTAAATGTGTATAATACCTTGGTGCATACTGGGGATACACCGATACCGGTTTTTCAGTATTGAGTACGAGTACCGATATATTTATATTTCGGTACTCGCCGATAACGAGTACTTCCGGTAGCATAGAGCCGGCTTCCCAGCCAATCAGCATGGAGGCCGGCCAAACAGATCTGACAATCTGGTGACATGACCCCCACCCTGCAGACAAATAATTCCCCTCACATAGATCCTTAGCAGCGGTCATTACTGTACCAGTCCCTCTGCCAGCTGGGCAGACACTGCTCTCCTGGATCTGCCCATATCTCCTGTGTGTATAGCGCCCTCAGTCTGCGCATGCACAGGATTTCTAAATGAGAGCGCTGGACAGTCTGCACATGCGCAGTAGCAGGCTAAGGGCCGAGCACGAGGGCGCTGTACACACAGACCAGCTGGCTGAGGGGCTGGTACGGTAATGACTGCTGCTGAGTATGTGAGAGGAATGAGGTGCCTGCAGGGTGGGGGTTGTGTCGCCATATCAGATTTGTTTTCCCGGCACGACACTGGTTGGCTGGGAAGCCGGCTTCCCAGCCAATCTGCATCAAGCCAGCCAAACAGCACAGAACCAGCTTCGCTGCTCCATGTTCCCTCGCGGCACTGCCGCTAAGAGGAAATCTCCCTCTGACTGGAACTTCCAGTATCTGGAAAGGTATCGGAGCATTTAGGAGAGTACGAGTACTCGCCTAAATACTCGGTATTGGCACCGATACTAGTATCAGTGCATACATATCCGAAAAATATATAAATAGAGTTCACAAGTGTGATGGACACACAGAAAATATCCACATGTGAACGTCTGTCTCCAAAGTGTCTGAGGAACAGCAATCTAAAGTCTCTTTCAGTCCTTCACCTTGTTACCGTACATAAGGACTTCCCTCCCCTTTCTGAGAAGGGATCTGCTGTGACCTACTCTGTGGGCCCACAGCATCAGGCGAGCACCCCTCTTTATATGTGTGCTCACTACATGTATATGGTGAAGGACTGCTCACTACCCTATTCACTTTGAGCATACATCATATGAATAATTTGTATATTATTTAGCTCGGCACATTATTATATTCTATGCATTTCCCTGTTTTATTGTTTTACCCCTTTTTAAAGTCCCTGCATGTGCAGACGAATACCTGTTGATCTGCCAGAAATGCACTCCGCTTCTAAAGTTCAACATTTATGCGGCTTTCTTCAGGAACCGACCAAAATTTGCACAGTGGGTGCCGCTGTCGGCTCCCTCCCAGCCAGCATCCTGCAATCAGCTGATCGAAGGAGCTGGTTAGAAAGTCTTTGAACAAATGCTGCTGGCAGCCAATAGCACTGCTTGTGTATTCTGACAGCAGCTATTGGCTGCTGGCAGAATACAAAAGAGACAGCGGGGGATTCCTGGAACAATACTCATAAGCATTGATGGAGGAATCTGTTCTATTTTTTTTTTTTTTCTTTGTTCAGCCGGTAGGTTGAGCGAAAAAAATAGAACAATGTATAGCCAGCTTCAAGTGTATTTTCAATTTCGCTGCCAAATTTGAGAAAGCCCTTCCATATGTTACGTGCTCGCCTCAGATCCTTTACAGCCCCTCCTAACATTTCAAAGAAAGAGAAGCAAGAAGAAATGTTAGCATATGCTATGTGAATGGGAACATGTAATAAATATAAATAGAGGTTATCCCAATGTGGCTGAAACTTGGGAAACAAGTTAAGTTCTGTTGTGTGCTGACAGCAGACATTTTTGTAGACTGAATGTTGTCACCTCTCCCCAGTGTCTTCTGCTAAACTGCTCAAGCACTCCCACTCTTAGAGCTCTACAACATGAAGGTTAATCATTCTGTAGTCCACAAAAGGTGTAGAGAGGACACAGGACGGCTCTGAATTTGACAAGATCCACATTGCACTTATGAAACAGATATATTATTCAGCGTGTAATGGAGTGCGGCCAGATTCTTCCTCTACTATATGAACTCCAATAAGATATGAAAGACTCACATTAATGCATCTAGGTATCAATTACTCTTTAAATGTATATACTTTTATTCAGTTAGTGAAAGCACATGAATATGACTATCAGCCTCTTCCAATCTCTGGTTCAGCGGCACTGGGAGAGGCAGAACTGGAAGTTCAATTAGGTGTGCAGCATAGAATTGTGCAGACAAGGGCCATGCTCCTAGGAGGAGAGAGCAGAGTGAGAAGAGATCAGAGTTGATCACTTCACTGCATCACTTTCACTGTCCAATCAGCTGGCTGGTAGCAGAGAGAACACACCACTGTATCCCTTCTATAGTGTGGTACTGTGAGGGCCCATTCACACCACATCTCCACCAGACCAGATTGTTTCCAGACCCAAAATGCATCCTAATGTATCCCTATGCTATTTCTGGCCTCGGTTCACACCAGCACAGTCTGTTCCAGACCAGAAAAATACTGCGTGTCACATTTGGTCTGGTCTGGAATGCACTGGTACTGCGGGCAGGTTCACACCATTTTCCGGATCAGATCTGGTGCGGAAAATGGTGGGAACCTGCCCTGACACAGAATGTGTTGTCGTCCTCCTCAACTGTGCTGTTTGGTGGAATAAACCTCAGGAAGGAATGAAGAGAAATACAAATCCTTTTGCATGCAAACACGTCTCTTATATGTATTTCCTCTGTTTAGTCTTTTGGCTGGAGTTTTTATAGAAGTATTGTAGAGATGTGAGTGTGTATCTTGTGCTGTCCCGCTCTGTCCGTGGCTTTTTCCTCTCTCCTCCTCGCCTTTTATTTGTAATGTGATGGGAGAAACAAGGAATGTGTTTAGCAAACCTGATCTGGCTGCGCACATTATTGTTTGATATCTGATTGATTCCCGGCCAATGTTGATCAGTTTCATAGGACTTTGGTGGCCGGCACTATCAGGGCTGTGTAAAGACCTTTCCCATTTTTCCTGCAAAGCCCGAGCACACACTCCAGCATTGCACAGAAATCATTTTCCTTTTCTGAAGTAAAGGAGGAAGAAGAAATCTCTGTACACTGACCTAAATAGGTTATTCTACACACATGAATGATTATATTAATTTGAAGCAAAACCTCTGCTCTCAGCCTCTCCCAGGCGACGAATGGGGCTGAGGTTCAGATTGCCTCCCTGCTGAGTCTGTCCTTTACCCGGCACCATGTCCCTGTACACGGCGTGATCATCGGAGCTCATTATGAGATCTGCACCTCCGCATGTGCTGTAACAGATGGAGAGACTCTGAGGTCTTGTAATCAGCATTTGTGATACAGTATGTAATGTAAATCAGGAGGACTTTTACTTGTGGTGAATATAGGAGCCCAGTTTCACCTTTAAAGTGACACGAAACTCAGAAGTTAAATCTTAAAAATACATTCAAGTATCTTAACTATTAACAAAAAAGTATCTTATTTGGGTATCACTCGGCTGTAGATCCTCAAATCATCTCTGAATTGGTGCTGACTCTGTCCTTCCTTCTGGAGGGGGGCTACGTTAGTTCGCCATGGTCCCTGTGTGTGTTTTAACTTAGTCACCGCCGCCAAGCTCACTCCTGTGATGGACTACAATCTCATGTTAAGTTTACTAATTTGTATTGAGATTATAGTCCATCACAGGAGTGAGCTTGGAGCAGTGACACACAGGGACCATGGGGAACATAAGTAGACACCCTTCAGAAGGAAGGACAGTGTCAGCACCAATTACATTTTAATGCATTTTTAAGGTTTTACTCCTGAGTTTCTAGTGTAATTTTAATACAGCTTACCAGTTCCTAAAATATATGGCATTAGTTTTCTTTTTTCTTTTCTTTTCACCTGGTATTTCTGTGAATAACACACTTCTGGTCCCTGGGGACATACGCTCAATCCTTTTACTAAGTCTAAAAGAGGCGAGGTTTGCCACCCAGGCTGGACTTCAAACATGTCTGGCATTGTCCTCCTCCATTATATGAGGATTCGGGAGATATGCTGACAGCACTGCACTTTGGACAAAATCAGCAGGTACTTGCTGAAAATGTCTGTGACGGTTCTCATTCATCCAGGTCATGATATATCTGTAAAGAATAAGTCAAGGCAACTGTATTTTTTCTTGAAGACGTTTCACTGGTCATCCAACCAGCTTTCTCAATTCTGAAATGCAATCAGCACCTGGTTGCGACTAACAGATTATGTGGATTGGAGCAACATTCACCATATTTATTCCCATATAATTTTTTACCAGTCATTCTGAATTGAGAAAGCTGGTTGGATGACCAGTGAAACTTCTTCAAGAAAAATACAGCAAATTTAGTTGCCTTGACTTATTCTTGCTGAAAATGTTCTTAGCCTGAGAAAAGAAAGCTAATGCAGCCACCACATCGAAGGACTGGTAAGTTGCAATATATTATATCTGTGTTTTTGGCTTTACTTCTCCTTTAACATGGTTCTCCAGCCAGATTTATGTCCTTACCTTTCTCCACTGCAGTTAAACAATACAATTTTGTCACCGTCCCCCCCTCTCTGAAGGAGTATTGCCACACTGGGGCCATGGCTCTGGTCAGTCTGCTGTGCAGGAAATGACTGGAGGGCGATTCAAAGAGGTGCTGGGGTGCTTCTAAGTAGATATTTCAGAATCGGCTTTAACCGATCTCCAGGAAAACCTTTTCTTTTCCTGTTGTGTTATCAGAATGAACATTACGGAAAATCTCTCAGATGGGGACACAGATGGCAAATAAGAACTCTTTTGTCAGTAGGTGGGGAGGAGTTCCCTAGATACCGGATTCTACACAAATGTGTCCACCTCGGCACCTCACGAGTCGCTTGCATTCCTTTTTTTTTTTTTTTAAATTCTTTTTTTTAGTTTCCATTAGAAGAGTAGGAGAGAAAAATACGATTCAGTGGATGTGGACAGAGCCGGATACTTTGTCACTACGCTCACGCCACTGTAGTCCCAGATGGGTGTTTCTAAGGCAATGGAACGTTACTAAGGCAACCTATTGCTGTCACTTATAAGTGAACATACCCTATACATAGCTGAATTCCTTTTAAATATACAGATGAAAGACATATATGGGAGAAGTTTTATTTGGCAAAGGATTTGTATTTTTGTCCATCCAGTCCTGAAATTGGCATAACTCTGCCACACAGCACAGGAGACCTTGCTGCAATTAAGTAGAACTTACAGGTCTTGTCCTTCCCTGACCCTGTGACTGGACAGTGAAAGGAGAAGCAGCAGATTGATGAGCTCAGCACGTTCCTTGGTAGCACATGAGCACAATTGATTGGCTCCTTGTGATGTTTCTGCTCCTCCAAGTCTGAGCTTTGTTGTGTAGTGGACTGTAAGTGGCTACTGTCTGGATACAATTCAGGTACTTGCACCGCTTGCATTTGCAAAATTCTATCTAATGATTTATAATAATCAATATAGGGCTGCAGTAATTTGTATATTCCGGTAGTCCAGCTTTAAAGTCAAAGTCTAATGTACACTGTGCTGTTTTCATACATTGTAAAGTGCCAAATGACCCCTCTGTAACTTATCTGTTATCAACTAAGTTAAGCTGTGAAAATATAGAAGATAAATGACACTCCAGGGACTCCTTTTGTTATTGGTGTCTGCAGCCTTTGTGACACCTCCTGACCTCCACCAGCTAGCAGTAGGACATTTCTTAAAGCTATCAAAGTTGCTTCCATTGGTTGATTGTTGCTCTCTGAGAGGTCACATCAAACTAGAAAACGAATGTATAATGTCCGAACTACTTAGCTGCTTCAGAGCTCCCATCTGTCCCTCTTGTGGAGGTACACTTGTATATCTCTTACCTCCTTCCTCCTTGCCTCTCCCCTCTTGTAGCTCTTATATACTGGCCTGTAATAAATACATGCACCATTTTAAAATGGAACTTTACCCTTGATCATTACGTTCTATTAAATGATTTATCATGCAGTCCTACATACTACTTTATTTCTTTTCTATTGAAGTCTCGGTGCGACGTAAGCGGTACCACCACCACCAGCAGCATCAAGATCCTATGATGGCAGTGCTCGTGGGCTCTTTGTCACATGACATTCAATAGGATGTCTCCAGGATTCCCCATGTTTTTTTCTTCTGAACAGCCCCATTGAAGTGATGCACTCCTGAGGAATCTGTCAGCAGCTTCAGGGGTCAGGAGATCCGCGCCTGTGCATATGGGCTGCCATGGTACATAACTGCGATCTGCATCTTGTGTCACTGCTATGTTGGCTCCTGTGCTGATCGAAGATACTGTAGGTAGTGCAGAGCACATGCACAAAATATGGTTTAGGGCTTGTTCACACGACGTCCGGATTCTGTCCGGACCAGAGCCGTGCGCTCATGCACCCAAAATGCATCCCTATGTGTTTTATGGGCTACAGTTCTCACAAGCGCAGTCCGTTCCGATCCCGACAGAGAAAATACTGCATGTCACATTTTGTCCAGTCCGTCAAACGCACTGCACTGCAGCTAACATACTGACTCCAGCAAAAAAAAAAAAAAATTCGGACCAGATGGTTTTCAGACCCAAAATGCATACTAGTGTATTCCTATGCTATTTCTGATCTCCTGTTCACACCAGTGCAGTCCGTTCCAGACCAGACCAGAAAAATACTGCTTGTCTCAGTTTGTCTGGTCTCGAATGCAGTGGAACTGTGGACAAAAATGGTGGAACTGGTCCCGAAAATGGTGTGAACCTGCCCTAAGTGTCTTGGAAAATGAGATCTGAATGCTTTTCTGTATTTATGAGGCTTGCAGAAAGAGACTTCTCACTGTATGTAATTATTTATGTAACTTCTTACCAGCTGCATATCTGCTTTTGAGGACTTGTTCACATCGTGTCTGTTGAGCTGCATTTTTCTGCACACCACTGAACATGTATAGTGTGAACCGTGCACATATAAAACATCATACATGTGTGCTGGTATGCAGCGTGTGAGCAAGGCTCACCTCCAGAAATTGCTATATTGCACTAAGCGTTTAATCTAACCTCCCAGATTACTGCATTGGTTTTTTCCAAGCGTTATAATGAAAACAATAGGATGTCAAGTGTGTCCTTTGCTAAAATTGTGTTTAAAAGTTGTACATCTTTCCGCGGAAGCTTTGCTGGCATCCGTGCTGTAAGAAAGCAGAAGGTCTCTAGGTATTACTCACAACAAGCTGGAATCATGTTAGCAGCAACACTAACACAACTTCCAAGCCAATAGGTTCCATTTAGGCTTAGGCTGCCCGTGCATGGCCTAATTCTACGCTGATTGGGACTGTCTTATGTGGTGCTCGGGGGTGGATCATCTTATTAGGGCTGCACCTCTGAGCAGCCTGGAAGTTAACTACTATTCACGCACCACTTTTTCTTGTATGGTAAATTGCCGGATAATAGTCTGTGGGTCTTGGTGTGATCGAGGATAAGCAGCTGTCCCTCCCACCCGATGGTCTTTGGGAGATATCTGCTTGTCTGTGGGCAGCCAAAGGGCCAGTTCACACCATATGCAGTTGTGATGCAGTCCGTTTATTTTGACAGCTGCAGTCAAAATACAACACAATGCTTTCCTATGGGCTTTCTTGTGCTTTGTTCACACCATTGCAGTGTGTGTATATTGAATATAATTGCAGATGTATGAAACAGGGCTTTGTATTTTTTGTTCCTAGAACATGCGCTTTACAATATGCACAATTTTTCCGAAATGAAAATCATATTCATGGTTATAATTTCATTCAATCAGACAAGGTGCAATACGAATCTCCATCCTTCGCCTTCATATATTTTCATCACCTACAGACAAAAACATCTGTGAAAAATAAGTCAAGGCAACTGGACTTGCTGTATTTTTCTTGAAGACGTTTCACTGGTCAAGAAAAATACAGAAAGTCCAGTTGCCTTGACTTATTTTTTTACAGATATACCATGTGACCTGGATGAATGAGAACCTTCACTGACATAGTCAAAAACAATCGTCATTTGGCCCCATAAACTATTAGAGTTAATTGTAAACAACATCTTTTGTAAAAATGTCTATGGGTGTATAACCAACTTCAGTCTTGTAAACTTTGGAATTGAGGGTTGTTTTAAAATCTATTTTATTGCCCCTATCTCAGCCGGTGGATGTAGGCATTAGAATGGGTTGTGTAGATGCAGCATGTGGGGCTTATCTCTCTGTCAGCCAGACGAGAGGGGGGTCTCCAGAGCAGGCTGAGTAGATGGAGCTATGCAGATTGCCTGAAATCTAACCCCTTTGTAGGATTGGTCACTATGCAAGTTCCCTTTTGTTGTTAGGTTGAGCGTGAACCCTCAGCTCTTCTGACAGCTGGCTCTTGGATGCATATGCTTGAATTACTGTCACTCAGGCACATGATGCGTTCACTATTTGTCCACAGAAGATCTGCCAGCCATTCCTTTGTTTTACTCAGTAAGGAATCCAAACAAAATGCCAGATTGGTAATTCACAAGAATCGTGCAAGGTTCTTCATGGCAAAGCCTTGTCCACTCCTAATTGTAACAGTCTGTCGGATCCTACCTTTCTCTCACTACTTTTACGTAACTCACCCATGCAACGTAGTGACCTATTTGCAAAGATTGTTATTAGTCTTTTATCCTCTTAAGTGGTTGACTATTGCTTCAATTGTCAAGCTGTGGATTATAAGGAGGAGGACTGTCTTGTTTTGATTCATTGTGAGAAGTTGAAAATCCACCTGGAGCTATTCTCTTGTTTTGTTTTTTTTTTTGTTGGTTTTTCTTTAATTCTTTTTTAAAATATATTTATAAACAATTCTATCTTGCCAGTTTCATCCAGTAATGTCTCATTGATTGCACATTGGCTTATTGGCACATTGTGCTTACCACATAATATATGTCCATGTCAGATACCGTTAGTACCATCACCTAGTGATGTATCTTATTTGTGCATCGCTCGGCTGTAGATCCTCAAATCATCTATGAATTGGTGCTGACACTGTCTTTCCTTCTGGAGGGAGGCTACTTTTGCAGGGGGGCTACTCCCGCACTGCAAGGGTTGACTGCTTGTTTTCGTCTAGTTGCTAAAATAAAAAAACAGTTTACGCACACAATCCTTTTGGCATGTTCTTGGACTGGTCTTTTGGCATGTTCTTGGACTGGTCCTTCCCGCCTTGTCCACCCTCAGCTGCAGCAGTCCCTGTGTATGGTCCCTGTGTGTGTTTTATAAAGTGAGCACCGCTCCAAGCTCACTCCCGTGATGGACTACAATCTCACGTTTAGATTAATAATTTGTATTGAGATTGTAGTCTCAATCTCGAGAGCGAGCTTGGAGCGGTGGTCACTTTATAACACACACAGGGACTGCTGCAGCTGAGGGGGGACAAGGCGGAAAGAACCAGTCTAAGAACAAGCCAAAGGATCGTATGCGTATTACTTTTTTTTTATTTTAGCACCTAGACGGAAAAAAAGCAGTTAACCCTTGCAGTGCGGGAGTAGCCCCACTACAAGGGAAAAACAAAAGTTGTGCCTGGAGTGCTTTAACTTTCTTATGCATGTTGGTATTGGTGCCACCATCTTGGATGTGATGTCGGCAGCCCCAGCGGGCTCAGAGCTGTCATTCTATAGTATTCCCCTTCATTCCTCTCCTAGAAGTTGCATATAAGGTTATATAAGGAGGTGAAGAGAGGAGCTGGGCCAGACCAGAGGTATTACACACTTCCAGAAGAGTAGAGGGCTATTCAGGGAGAGGGCTGTGCTATGGAATTGACTCTAAATGGAGTAGCCAAAATTTGCAAGTTCAAAGGTGCACTGTAAATAAAAAAAAATTTTAAAGTGAAAACATTGCAAGTAATTTTAAAATACTTGATTTTTTTCACCTAAATGTTTACATTTTGTTGACAGGGTCTCTTTATTAACTCCTTTTGTTTGTCAAATGGGCGAACATATCCCAGGAGCCAGATAGCTAACTCTCTGGCATGTTTTCTTCTGCTGGCAATAGAAACCTGTGTTCCCGAATTTGCCATAATTTTTAGTATTGACGGCTTTAAATGAGTCATCCAGATGAAAATAACAATTGCCGTGGTTAATAATTAATTTGTTATAGCTTATTGAATTAAGCCTGTGACTATTATACCCAAGGGACCAATTAATGCAATGCTGCGGGTACCACAGATGGTTCTCTAGTGTATAACTTGGCTTATATCTGCTTTTTTTTAATGAACTTCTATGTTATAGTGTCTATGGTACTTTTTTTTTTTTTTGCATAGATTAAAGATTAGCATGGCATCAGTCAGCGTTTCCCTTCTAATAAGTAATCCGTATAGACACCAACGCATAGTGTTCATTCCTTTCATGTGAGTTGGATTGGTGACGTTGAGCACACTGTATGAAGTGCTGGTAAGTTCAGCGCTGTCAATGCTGCTCGCTTCTTTTTTTTTATTGCAGGCTATTTTTCTCTAGTCGCATAGTTTGCAGCTCTTAGCAGTGTGTTTAGTGAAGGCGTGATAATCATCCTGCCAGGAAGAAAAAAAAACGGAACAATTGTGGAGCTAAGCTGGCAGCGAAGTGTAATGTTTCGTAATATATCAAGTGATCCAACCCGGGTAGAGCTCAGTGAGCGCAGGTTGTCAGAGCTTTAATTCTAGCAGTTGTGGGTGTTCTGTGCACATTGCGCTGGCTATCCTTGTGAAGATCTGTTCGTTCGACAAGGCAATGAATGGTGTGTTTTCTTTATCATTTGCTTGGTGAGGGCCACCCCACCCTCCCAGGATAAACGGAGATCTGACTCACTGGGGTTTTGTTTCTTCTGGATCAGCAGTCTTAGAATATAAAGTCAGGCATGTCGGTCTCATGTTTTTTTGGGCTGTATGCCATCTTCTACCTATTACCCTGCCAGGCTTACATTTCTCCCCACCTGTTCCATAGGTTGTACAATGTAAAAAATAAAAAGGGTGCTGCCATTGCTGACATAGTTCCAACCCATCATCCTGATTTTGGCTTTGCTACATAGTGAGTCACAGACCAACAATTAGCATGCAGTTACTGCATTCTCAACTCCCATTTTGTTTACTTGTTCAAGGCCCGGGACTTGTGGGGTCAGGATGACTGTCGCCCCCATAGCTTGCATCTTAAAAACAAATTACTACTAGTGCTGCTTTTAGTATTAGAAATCCCTTTCATTAGAAACTCGGCAGCAGGGAACTGATTTGTACCCTTCAGTGAACTACTGCAGAAGGTCATTAAAGCGGACCTTTACACAAAAATCTAATTCTACCAATGCATCCCTCCTATGTATGATGATTAATAATAATCTGGTCTGGTGTAAAATGCTGTGATTATGAAATACTTACACTTGCACAGCATTCACTTCCTGCTTTGAAGGGCAAAAGGACTTGCAGAGCATTGCTGGGAATGTAATCTCAGGGAAAGGCATTTTCTCTTTCCCTGAGATGATGTGCATGGTCACATGTTCTGGTCACATGTTTAGTCACATTCACATGTCAGAAATCCAGGAAGTAAAAGGAGAGCTAGTAATCTGCCCTTGGTAAACATGGCCACTGTCGGAAGACTGGGGAAGAAAAGAGAATACAAAGCTGGCAGTTATCTAGAAGTATGTGTTTGTAGTATTATTATTATTATTATACAGGATTTATATAGCGCCAACAGTTTGCTCAGCGCTTTACAATATAAGGGAGACATTACGATTACAATACAATTCAATTCAAGACAAGATAGTAAGGAGGGCCCTGCCCCTGAGGGCTTACAATCTAAAAGGGAGGGGGAAGAAGATCGTCATTACTAAACATCTCTAAAGGTGTGTTTGTTATTTTTAAAGATATGGGTACAGGTCAGCTTTAGGCCCCGTTCACATATAGCGACATACCTTTTGCAGCGGATCCGCACGGCCGGGATAGCGCGACTTTCGGGGCGACGTTCCAGCGACGATCCAGCGACGGTAGCGCGACCTTCCCCGTCGGGCTCCATAGAAAAAAAGTAAAATCGCGCAAAATCCGCCGAAAAAAGGGTCCGGTAGAAGCGACTTGCGACCGCGACGAGCGACATGGAGTTAAGACAGCTCCATTGAATAACATTGGCCGGCGACTTCTCGCGATATCGCGCGGCAAAAATGCGCGATATCGCGGCGGAAATCGCGCGACAATTCGCTATATGTGAACGGGGCCTTAGGTTCCCGTTCACACCTAGGCATTTTGTTACTCAAAGCTATGTGTGACATAACTCTCAAGACAAGCAATCCCATTAATTTCTGTGGCCCCTGTTCACACCTAAGCATTCTGTGGCAAGTACATGAGCTATTTTTTGGCAGATTACAGCGCTTTTTGGTCCCATACACTTCAATGAGAAACTTTGTGCAACAAAACGCTCGGGTGTGAACAGAGGCCATAGAAATGAATGGGCATTTCATTTCTTGAGCATTTTGTCATGTTTACCTTTTGAGCGACACAATGTCTAGGTGTGAATGGAGCCTAAAGAAGAACTCCAGCCTCGTGTGCTTCTTTCTGTTCCTTCTGCCTCTGGTTCTTGGTGAAAACTGCGTTGTTCTGTAATTTTCAGATTTGTCTGCAGATGCCTGGTCTCCCACAAGGCCCTGACCGTCCTTTTGCTGGCCATGTACAGCCTAAAATTTCAGCCGATTCCTGCTGAATCATCTGGAATTTGAGGTGTGGGTGTCCCTGTCAGAACCTGCATAAGCAGACTTTGATTACAAAATCGAAGGAGCCAGGTGGGAAATTGTGAGCCACACAGTGACTGCATCCAATTAGATGCAGTCACTGTTCAGGTATTCATACAGATGCTGTTTCAGACCCCCTGTGTTGGTGCAGTGCATAAGTCCCGGTGCGCATGTGAGCAGTGGATTTTGCGTGCATACCCATATAACCATATCTTCAGCCAGTCTGTCATTGATTTTCTACAGGACGACTGCACGCTACTGTACAGTAAACCTGTCACTCCCAGGAAGATCAATACACTGGGACGTGTTCTGTATGGCCCTCTTGGGCCTTGTGCAAGAGCCATAAAAGTATCACTAAACTCTTCTTGTGAATATAAAGTCTGCATCCGGCCCACTGTAATAAACCACTGCCAAATAAAAGAATGTGCCAATAAGTTACACATTGCTTTTTTTGGGGGCAATATAAAATGTATCTCCATGTGCCCCCCCCCCCCTTTTCCCCGGCAGACTCCTTTCCCCTAAATTCCAACCTGTGTGTGGCAAGCAGCACACGCATATTGTGGTCACACGCTCTCCCCAACCTGCAAATCTAAGCTGTCCTTGAGCCTGTGGCTTCTACTGGGCATGCATCCGTATTGTTTACTAGTCTTTTGCTTTGCTTCTACATGCCGGCGCTGGATGCGTCCTCACATATAAATGTAGTCCAGCTCGGAAGTGAGCAGCAGAGAGTGGCTATGTTCCCACATACAGAGGGACCATGTCTCAGAAGTGATGTAATTGTTCCTCATGGGAAGTTCTCTGTAAAAAGTACTGTTGTTTTTGCCTGGAATTGGGTCTATCCATAACCTAATCCTCCCACTTTCTGCTCTTTCATCAGCCACTTGTTTCTTAGCTGCCAATTGAATGAGAATGCCGGACATAGGGCGGAACTGGAAGGAGCCATATTATGTGCCCTCATGCAAATGTGGGAACATGATGACATAATGGGAGGGAAGTATTGGAGGTCTATGACCTTTTGAGCTGTGCAGCAAATGGTGATCAAGCCAAGAGGTCATAGAGAGTCTTAGGTCCCGTCTCCATTCATGCGCATCACTGGGAAAACATTTAAGAAAGCTACAAGACGCACAGTTTTGTAGGGGTGCACGCGGTTTTATCTTGCAATTTCAGTGTTTGCATAAAAAAAACCTCTTCTACTTCTCCTGCAATATAGGCACCGCCTTTTATTTGATTATGGGTGCTCGGCCAAGGGTTACTTCAGGAAGTTGTGAGCATGGAGGAGAATTTATTAAAACTGAAGCAGTTGCCAATAGTTACCAATCAGCATCTATCTTTTATTTTCAAAGTTTAACTGAACTAAGTGAAGAGTGAAGCTGATTGGTCACCATAGGCAACTGCTTCTTATTCTGTCTGCTCCAATTTTGATAAATTTCCCCCCATTGGGTTCAGGAAGTATATTCCACTGACCCTGTGAGGTACCGGCCGCAGTAGGTTACAAAGAACTCAAATTAGGGTATCTTTATAATTTTTTGCAGTGATTTGCTGGATGATATCACTGATTTTTTTTTCTGGTTGCTTGGAATGTCTCTTTAAAAGTCAAATACAAGATGTAGTCACAATCACATTGGACTGTGGAATGGGGAGCGCGGCTTAGACAATTAACAAAGCACTTTTTGTATTGAGTGCACATAGGCTTGTGGGGTCTTTCAGAGCACACAGGAAATAAAGGGTTAAAATGGATACTTACAGGTACATCGTGGCCTTGTTGCATTATTCAATGTATACTGTGACCGAATTCACTGCTTTACATGTGGCTGTGTTTACAATGTGTAATGTTGTGACTTGGTGACTCACGACATTGCTATTCATGTAAAAGTCAGGGCACTTCTCTCCAAGTCCCGGATTACTGGGTGTGCCTTGCTATAAACCTCAAAGCATGCAAGGGCCACACATACTTCCGGGGTAGGTGTGCTGAAAATAGGTGCTTCTGAAGGTCGGGGGTTTGTACTTCCCTTGCTTTACCTTTCACAACTCCTAGAGCTTCTTTTCATGATCTTTCCTGTAAAGCCTCTATAAAGCACTCAGTGCTTTAAAATATGTAAAGAGCTTCAGTTTAATTGTCCTAATGAAATATGCGGAGCTGGATTTTGTGTAGAATAAGCTGCGATTTAGGCAAAGCCACTTATAAAATACAGAACGCTATGCTGCAAATGAACCAGCAGCATGAATAGGTGTCCCTAGACACCACAGAGGTAGAGTCAACCTTATTTTAAGTGAACGTATTCAAATTCACATCTTTCGTGCCATAAATAAAACCCAAAACCCATAAGATCATATGGCCTCCGAGTACCAGGGATATCAGTTCAATTTACAACACAGAAGATGGGCCTTGTCTGGGAGACCTGCAGGGAGGTGAGAGGATCAGCAAGACGCAACCAATATGGCTGCTGCAGTCACTAAAATCTAATATAATCTTATCTTACAGTAGCTTGAAAAGTAAGTTTTTATATTTTAAAATCTTCAGTTTTCACATTATAGCTGGTGATCTCGCCATGAAGCTCATTGTGCATTTTCCTATGGATTCCACATACATTGCACAAACATTTTTCACTTTTGTCACTATAAGGAAACCCGCCCTGAGAAATGTCATGCAGCCAGCGTTGGAGTGCATTTATACAGACAGGAAGCGGCTGCATGTGTTTAGTAGCACTGGCATGCAACAAAATGGCATTTGTTTATGATGCACTGCTTTGACAAACACCCAGCAGCTTATATACAGTTGCCCCCCCCCCAGCACCACCACTGACACATACAGATCTGTTAAAGCAGAAGTAAAGTGTGGACAAGAAAAAACCCTCCGGAGATGTTTGCTATAATGCGCTAGTATGCACAATATGGCCGACTTACCTTGTAAGTGGTCTCCTCCAGTGCTGTGCTGTTGCACCCCTCTGTCGCTTCCATCTTCATCCGGTCTTCCTCCACATTCGGGTTATTGTGCCTCGCACCATGATCATTGTTTTTTGTACTATATTATGATTTTATATGATGAGTCTTTAGTTTGTGGGTCTTCCTTTTGGGTATGTGAGTTTCCCTGTTGCAACAAAAACCACTTCCCACATGTGTTTCTGTATCCTCTCATGGAGATGAGATGAATAATTATATGGAACAATTTTGGTTGCATGGGCAGACAGTACTTATGTCTGTGGAGAACTGCAAACCACGGCAGACAGTGGCAGTAGACATTTCTTGGGGGAACTAGTGATGGGGAAGGTTGGATAGATTTGGCAGTCCCCCAGTGTTAGGTTGTCTGCTGTTCAGTGTCTCTCCACCATAGGCATACATATAAGCTGTTTACATTTGGATTATACCCTCTCACATCTGGCCGCTACCTAATGTAACCATTTTGTAAGGCCGCTTTGACTTAGGGCAGCCGATTCATTGTGAATGGGCCGTAGTTATTGTTTTTGAGAATAAAATGAATCACCTTACCAGGAATCACTGACATCACTGCAGTGTGAAGGATAGATGTAGGGATGCACCGATACTTTTCGAGTACCAGTGCCTATACTTGGCATTTTCATGAGAACTACCAGGCTCCACCACTGTCCTGAAATCATTAGTATGTATTGATTTAGAAAAACTGTCACTTGACAATAAACAAAAATGTATCAGTACTTGTATCTGAGTATTTGGACGAGTATCTGTACTTCCAAATATGGTTTCGGTGCATCTCTTTATATATGTTTATAAAAACCAAATCGTACATTAAAACAGATGTACAAATCCCAGGAGCTCCGTGTGCTTCTTACAAATGACAGCTGCCCCCTAACTTTTTAATTTTTCTCCAGTCTAGTCTTGGAGCTGGAAAAGTATCTGCACATGTACTTGTACCGAGTACAGTACTTGGTATCGGTGCATCCCTAGATAGATGTATAGCAGTAGGTTATATTGACTCTATAGGATTATGGGCACTACAGTTGTTCACCACCACCCTGAAAATGCTTGTTGCTTGGCAGTCGCTGACTTCAGTACTGTGTCACTGACCTGGAACAAGCATGCAGCACGCCTTTTATCCTTTAGATTGCATGCTCATACAGGAAGTTCTTTCTCGTCTGTTGTATAGTTATTTGTTATTGTATATGTTTTGCTATGCAGCTGTATGATGTCATTGGAAATATTTTACGTATTTGTTATCCACCTTACTCCCCGTTGTATGTAAAACTTTGTTGTACAGTCATCCAGGTGATAAGGTGCCATATAAATCATTAACGATAATAATAATGTTGCTGAGATGTCATTTCCTGCCGTTCTCAAATATGCAGGCAAGCCGACAACTCAGATAAACAAATTGCTCTTCCAGGCTGTGTCACAATACTTGAAATACGGCTGAAATCTTCAGCATTTCCATAGAAGGCAATTCCACACGCCATTCTGCAGATTTGATGAATGCTTTAGTTTGAGTAATATTGGAAGATATAGAAGGAATTTCACATTTTTAGCCTTTAACCAGGCAAAGGTAGCATCTGGCTCTCCAGCTCTTGCAGAGCTAAATGTGCCAGCATGTCCTTCCAGCACACAGAGAAAAGCACTTCTGGCCGCCAAGGGCTTTCACAGGGGTTGGGGGCAGCTGAAGCCGACCTGAATTTTAAAGTTAGGTCTACTCCAACCGATCTGGTAGGCACTGGGAGAGGAGAGTTTTATAGGCGAGAATATATAGTATATTATGTTTTTATAGCTGTAACAGATCTCACAGCACTCCATTTATTGGTCATGTGACCTGGAGCTGCAGTGGAGGAGCACTGCGGTCTACAGGAAGCTTTACAAGCAGCCTCGCCTATAAAGATGGTTGCACATTTCTTTAAAGGGTACATGAAAAATCCCATAAAACTCAAGTTAAATCAAGCAATTTTGATAGTGTTGGTTGATGGTTTTGGTTAAAGCCCAGCTGAATTCACAGATATAGATATGCAGTCACATAGACATAGTATTAA